CCCCATCCCAATCCTTCTCCTTCCCCCCTCCCCCCCACAGCATTGTTGCCTCCTTCTTTGTTTTCCCCCTACCATCCCTCTCCTCCCACTTCTACAATTACACACACACACCCTTCCTCACCCTCCCACCTAAATTGTAAAGTTCGTTGTTCAACAGTGTTTTGTACATCTCACTGTTACAATGGGTCAACCTGTATCCCTATTTAAACATTTGTAGACCCTGATAAATGAATTTACTGTAAAAATATGAGATAAGCCATGTATTGGTGGCTCTTGCCTGTAATCCTAGCTTTGCAGGAGTCTGAGATCTGAGGATCTAAGCCAGTTCTAAGTTCTAAGCCAGCCTAGGCAGTAAAGTCCATGAGACTCTTATCTCCAATGAACTACTCAGAAAAAGCTGAAATGCTAGAGTACTAGCCTTGAGTACAAAGAGGCTCAGGGACAGTGTCCAGACATACAATCAAATATTTCATTATATATTGGCCAGAAATTGTGATATCATATAAGAAAGAATATAGACTTTCTGATTCTGACCACTTTTGGATGGAGAAAGAATTATAGGAAGTAAGGGAAATGGAAGAGAAGAAGGAAGATGGCATGAGTGGCAGCTGCTGTAATAATCCTAGACTCAAAAATTCAGTTCCCTTAAGATAAGAAAATACAGGGTAGAGTGCTGATGTTCAAATCTCAACCTCCTTATGAAGTTTCCCGTGAACCCCAAGTTTGATAACAGACGCAATAGCAGGATGCCTCCTTTCCCTTGATATTACAGGCTATTGTCACACATTCCTGAGCAAGTGAGAACAGACAGATTATAATGAGAACTTAATTGAATCTTATCAAAGTGTTTAATTGCTCTGATAACTATAATTAGGGCCTCCTCCTAGTTCCCATGGTTTAATTAACTACCCTGTTAACTCTTGTTATTGGTCCTGTAGGCAAGAGCTGTTGATTTGGAAGTATGATAAAAAGGGAAAGAAAGAGTATCACTTTTCACAGCAGGTGGTACTTCAAAGATACAAAAATATTATACTATAAAAATACATGCTGCTTTTGTATACAATCTTTCTTTTTTTTAATTTTATTTTATTGTAAAGTTGCTGTACAGAGGGGTTACAGTTACATAAGTAAGGCAATAAGCACATTACATGTAGATCATTCATACCCCATCCCTTGTTGTCACATTGTCCCCTCTCTCCCTCACCCCACGCTCATCCCCACCCCATACAATCTTTCTTTAAGGAGAAGGTGAACAAGATACAAGAATGCTTGTATTAGAGACATTTTGGTGTTTTGTTTTTATCAGTCAGACAAATTAGTAAAGAACTAAGTTGTATACACACACAGGGTAACATCTCATTTAGTACTTGGCAGCTTATAAGATTATTTTCAGTAATATTTAAGTGTCCACAAACGGGTTATACCAGGAAAATGGAGAAATAGATAATAGGACATTATTTCTGTTCTCAGTAGTCATAAGATTCTACAGAGATTGTATAGTTTATTCATATGTGACACCAGAGTTGGGGGAGAGAAAAGAAGAAGAGATGGATGTAGGCTGAGTAGTAGCAGAAAGCTCCTGAATGCAGCAGATATTCATTGTAGTGGTATGTGGAGTAGAAGAAGCAAAGCTGTGTCAATAGGTGATAAAGGAGCAAGAAAAAGTGAGCTGATTCCCCTGAGTATGCTTTATATATGTATAATTTTGTTATTATTAAGGTGCTATGCAGAAGGATTACCATTTCACATTTCAGGTAATACATACATTTCTCTTTTGGACAATGTCACCCCTTCCTTCACTTTCCCTAGCTCCTTTCTTCCTGAGTATGCTTTTGAAAGCTCATATGTACTTAAAGAGGAAGTTTGTTACATGGCTGGATGACATATAAAAGTATCATTAGCATTCAGAAGTGCATTCTCCTATTGGCTGCATAGGTGCAGATAGCTAAGAGCGTTGTCTACATATTAATAAAATCCCTTTAAGTTCCAGAAAGGCCAATACTCAGAATGCTTCTTTTCAATCAACTGCATTACTGGAAAGAATTAAATGAGAATTTTTTTCAGGTTATATGTTTGTAAAATATCCTCAGCAAAATATTGAATAATCTGATCTAAAATTAAAACATATACTTTTTGTAGAATGGGCCACTGCATAGAAAATGACCATATTATCAGCTTTCAGAATTAGGAATTTTATCTTCTTTTGTATGTATGCCAGGAAAGGATCTTGAACTCAAGAACTCATATTCTCACTTGGCTTATTTGCTCAAGGCTGGCCCTCTACCATCTGAGCCACTTTTTTTTTTAGTTTTTTGCTGGCTAATTGGAGATGAAAGTCTCATGGACTTTTCTGCCTAGGTTAGCTTCAAACTTTGATACTCAGATCTTAGCCTTCTGAGTAGTTAGGATTAC